TTCCATCTCATTTCCCTTTGGGCTTGCTGTAGGTGATCTGGAAGTCTGGTTTTGAGACTTATTTATGTGTTTTCTCATTTTGACTGGGGTGGGGGGCTGTTAGTGCCAGAATGGATTACCTCCTCTGAGCTGGGTGAGGTGGGACAGGGGCTGGGAGCAGTGGTAGGTATGGTGACCCAAAAGCCCTTTCCTGTGGGCTGGGAGCAGCCGGAGGGTGCAGTGGGGTGATTTGGTGTCTTCTGCGTGACTCAGGACCTCGGTAGGGCATGCACAGACCTGCTTGTCTGCAGGGGGCTGATTTGGCGTGTGTTCCGCGTGACTGGGGACCTCGGCAGGGTGTGGGCAGACCTGCCTGTCCTCAGCGGGCTGATTCGGGTCTTCCGCGTGACCCATTCTTTTTGATATGAACATTACATGAAGAAGTTGGTCTATACTTTTGCATGAGCAATCTATTAGACATCTAGGATAGGAATATTTCAACTTCTATAAAGTGACAAATAAAATTTTAGTATTTTTCATCGCAAGCCATTTTATGTCTGTTACAGCTGTTTAGTTTTTTGAAGTCATAACATGAAAACAGCCATAAACTCTACATAAATGAATATTCATCTCTGTGTTTCATTGCACTTTTTTTTTTTTTGGTACTAGGGATCAAACTTGGGTCCTTGCACTTGCGCAGCAGGCAGCAAAACCACTGAGCTAAATCCCCAGCCCAAATTTTTATAATTCCAAGCACGAGCTCCCAAGGAAAGTGAGGAGAACTTTTTTTCTTTTCTTTCTTTTTTTTTGCAATCGGGGATCAAACTCTGGTCCTTGCACTTGCACAGCAGGCAGCAAAACCACTGAGCTAAATCCCCAGCCCACATCTTTTCTTAAAGCAGTAGACCTTGACAAATATTCTGGACCTAGTCCTCACCATAAAGCAGTGATGAAGAACCTTTTAGGATCTTTAAATGATAATAAACAGCCCACTTGGGCATATGTGCCATAGATTGGCCACCATTGTCCTAAAGCAATGGTACTCAATCTTTAACAGTACCTAAGTATTACTTGGTGTCTTACATACTAAGGAAGAGAGGTTTATTTAGCTCACAGTTTGCAGAGGTTTCAGTTCATCGCTGGCTGGTTCCAAGGCAGGGTAACACGATAGAGGGGCATCACAGAGAAGAAATAGTTCACGGTGGGCAGAAGGCAGCAAAACAGTGAAGTAGGAAAAAAAGCAGCATAAGCCCTCTTTGTCTCTTATATTCCATTCAGGCTATCCACGGGTGAGTAGTACTCACACCAACTTCACACACTTAATCCTAGTATCACACAATTTAACCCCAGCTTCACACACCCTAGAATGAGCCCCCTCTCTAATGCCCCACTTATAACCACATGAGGCCTTGAGGGAACATCTAGATGCAAGTCATAACACCTGAAGTGTTTGATAAAACAGCTTCCTAGGCACTTCTCTAAAGAGGTTGGTTTTCTTGGTTAGGCGAGAACTCACAAGTTTGTATTTCTGGAAAACTCTTGAGTGATTCTGATGCTGCTGGTCCAAAGATTGCACTTTGAAAAGCATTGTTTTAATGATGCATCAAAGAATACACATATATACTTACTAGGCAATTTTTTATTTATATTCTGTGAGAAATTCTCATCTCTTAACTGGCTCCCAATTCTATGAAAGCCGAAGACAGGGATATGTTTTATAAATGGTATAAAAATGAATATTTGGAGTTAGAACTTCATTGTTTGAAATCTCATATTAGTTAATTCCACTTAACTGGCCATATAAATTAAAAATAGGATGAAGTAGAGAAGATAAGGCGAGACTTTTGGTGGAAGTAAAATAGAGAAATAACTTTAATTAAAACTACCACCTTTAAAATATTACCTGGTCTGTGTATCTTTTTAGATAGATGTGTACAGGTAGCACCATATTTTAAAATTCCCCATTCTTATTCATTAGCAGCAATTATCTCTTCTTATCAAGATAAGAGAAATGTATTTTTCTGGTCATGCCAAATACTTGTTCTTTGTTGCTGGTCATGATTATAAGAAAAAAATTGCATTTGAATAAATGCATATAGGTATATTTGTAAACATTCTTTCTATTTCCAATATTGTCTTTAATTAGAATTTGAAGTGAAAAAAATAATTCTGTTTGGCTTGGTGGTGAATGTCTGTAATGCCAGCACTCTAGGAGGCTGAAGCAAGAGGATGCAGGCTGCACAACTTAATGACTTAGTAAGACACTGTCTCAAAAATAAAAAGTTAAAAACAGGCTAGTAATATAGCTCAGCATAAAGGCCCTGGCTTCAATTCCAGTCCCAGAAAAAAAAAATCTGTATTGAGAAATATCGATGTAGAATATATTGATGGGTATCCAAATGGTAAATTGTTTCCCACAAGACCATCATATGATTTTTAATTTTTTTTTTTTTTTTTTTGGGATTGAACTCAGGACCTTGTGCTTTCGCGGCAGGTGGGTAGCCACTGAGCCAAATCCCTGGCCCCTTTTTTTAACATTTCTTGTAAGAAACGTCTGCTGGCAACAAATTCCCTCAATTTTTGTTTTACTTTTTTTTGAGTCATAGT